TAAATTTTATATAATAATTTTTGACAGGTTTTATAATAATATTTGAGTATAAAAATTTAAATAATTTTGTTTAAAATTATAAAAACTAAAGAGATTAATTTTAAAATTGAAAGATTAAAATTAAATTTATCTTAAATTTAAATAATTAAAAAATATTTTATAAAAAATTATATCACAAAAAACATACAATATTACTATGAATACAAGATAAATCTAAAGGTTCAAAACAATCACTTTGAGCCATTTCCGAAGTTTGATCACTTCAGTCATCGTCTACTTTTTATTTCCAATAAGTATTGCATCATTGCTATTCTCAATGGTTAGAATTACTCGTAATATATTAGAAAATAGTTAGATATATCTTAAAACAAAAATTTGTGTTTAAATAAATATATTCATATTTAATATACTTTATATTAAAAAAAATTACCATTTTCTTAAAAAAGTTGTTGTAGTTTCTTGAAAATGATTGTTTTTTTAAAATGTAAATTAATACATACATAAATCAAACTTGTTGATCTGAAAAATAGTTTGAGCTTCAAACCCTTAATAGGACATTTGAACATTTATCAGGTGTTCAGGCGAAATCATAAGTATAAATTAATTTTTTGAGTTATCTATACTGTTCTATGAAAATTAATTATTTGACGCATGAGCTTAAAAAGAATCTGTACAAATGGCTGGAAGAAAAAAATATATAATAACATACTAATGTTTATTTAAGTTACTAGGTGGTTTACTCGATAAGTAGATACATAACTAACTTTCAAACAAAATATATGAAATGATGTTGTTCATGTAAATTAAATTATTTAACACAAGAATTTAACAAAATGTATACAAATTATGGTATTTAATATCAACCAATAAGAAATAGTTTCATAATTTAAATATTAAAAATTAATTATTTTTAATGTAATGTATAATTATTTTTATCTCATATTTAGTTTCTATCAATTATTACATATATTTTTAAAAAAATTATGTTGAGAAAAGTGTTAATTAAATAATTGTTACACAGTTTGTTTTTTTTTAGAAAAAAAAACCAATGTAACTGCTTTCCTTTATTTTTTTTCCCACTCTTTCTTTTGTTTTTATCCTTTTTTATTTTACTTTTAATTTTTAAATAGAGGCAAAGAGTGTCTCTTTAGTGTCTTCCTTTGAATACACATATTAGTAGAAGTAGTGCACACTTATTAACCACAAAACTTTTATACAATTTTTTGGTGTTCTTTATTAATTATCATCATATGATTCATGTGATTTTTATAAAGGATTTTTATATGATTCATGTGATTTTTATAAAGGATTCGTGTGATTTTTATATAGATATAGATATAAAAAAAAAATTATCCTTATGATAGTCACTTTTTATTTTCATTTTTATATGGATTATTTTTTCCTTATCTTTTTCCTGCAACTTCTTAAAATTATCTTTTCTTACAAGTAATTTCTCATTTTTTATAATTATTTTATTTTGAAACTGTAATAATTAATCATAAAAATATTTTTCTTCTTATAATACAATGTAAACATAAAGTACCTTTTTCTTACTAATCTATAACATATATAAAAATACATAATTTAATTTCGTATATACATTATTTAGATAATTTTATCTTTAAATACGAAATATGAAGCTAACTGCTAAGCTGCAGTTCGGATCAGCTTTAAATGTGTAACGGACCCTGAAAGGCGTGCTAAAAACTAGTACATAATGTGACCCGTTTTGTTTAAGACGTGTCACGGGCCGCTTAACCGAAGGCCCAACCAAATAAGCCTGACATGCCCTACGCATGGTTAATATACTCAAGACTCATGACATATATGATATATATATATATT